CATCAATCGGCCGCCTCCTGCACGCCCCCTACTGGGCATCGAGCCCACAACCTGGGCATGTACCCTGATGGGGAGTTGAACTGGGACCTCTCAGTCCATAGGACGATGCTCAGTCCACTGAGCCACACCGTCTGGCTAGGCTACTTTTTTATTTTTAAAAAAATTATTTTTCTTTATTGATTTTAGAGAGGAAGGGAGAGGTAAAGAGAGAGAGATAGAAACATCTATGAGAGAACATGGATTGGCCGCCTTCTGCGTGCCCCCCACTAGGAATTTGGCCCACAACCCAGGCATGTGCCCTGACTGGGAAGCAGTGACCTCTTGGTGCATGGGTCGATGCTCAACCACTGAGCCACACCTGCCAGGCTATGTTTTCTGCTGTTGTTAATCCTTACCCAAGGATAGTTTTCTATTGATTTTTTTGATAGAGTGGATGGGAGGAAGGGAGGGAGGGAGGGAGGAAAGGGGGAGAGAGAGAGAGAGAGAGCGCGCGTGAGAAACATCGATGCAAGAGAGACACATTGATTGGTTGCCTCCCGCATGACTCCAACTAGGCCTGGGGATCAGACTTGCAACCCAGATATATGCCCTTGACCAGGAATCCAACCTGTGACCCTTCGGTCTGTGAGCTAATGCTCTAACTGCTGAGCCAAACTGGCCAGGGCAATTTTTTATGTTTTTATTGATTTTAGAGAGCGAGGACAGGAAGGGGGAGAGAGAGAAACATTCATGAGAGAAACATTGATCAGCTGCCTCCTGCACTCCCCCTACTGGGGACAGAGCCTGAAATCCAGGGCATGTGCCCACCATGAATTGAACCCATGGCCTCTCAGTGTATAGGACAGCGCTCAACCAACTGAGCCACACAGCCAAGGCTGGGGGACACTTTAAACAGTAAGTAAGCAGCTAGATACTCTGCTGTTGCCTCTTATCTGTTTTCCCTTGCTTGTATCTTGCCTCAGATTGAATTGTTGGCAGCTATAGATGGGCAACAGAGTGAGTGAAAGGAGCTGGGGCTTAGAACTGCTGTAGATGAAAGTGAAGGGAGTTTTAGTTACTCAGGGTCTTGAAGAAAGAGCTTTGGGATTGGAGAGTGAACGTAAATCTTCCTTCCCTACAGTCCTACACTGCACTGTGGTCTCCAGAAAATATATCAGCCACTGTAAGCCCCAACAGGGCGTTGTCTTCTAAAAGAAAGCACCTTTCTCACTGTCACCTCTACCTTTCCTAGATATGTGCAGGTGAAATTTGTCTGTATTCGGACCCAGTCAAACAGGAAGAGAACACCAGAGGTGGACTTGTGCCCGGCATACTTGCTCCTGCGTTACAATGAGAAACTGGATAGACTATTTATCAGTGAACTCAACACCCAGCATATACATGTGGACTCCCAAACTGCGGATCCTGGAGGAGACACTGCTGAATCTCAGAAGAGGCTGTGCCTACAGAAACCTGAGCCTGAGCAGCCTGCATTCAAAAAAGACCTTAACAGGGCTGAGAAGCCCCTGGTTGAACCATCATTTTGCTTAGATAAGATCCAAACAGCCTCAAAGCCAGAGCAGGAGGGTATCACTCCTTCTGACCTGGCCAAGATAGCAAAAGTAATGAAGAACTTTCTTAAGGTGGATGAGGGTTCCATGGCCTCCCTCAGTGTAGGCAACAGCCAAGACCTGGACCGGCTCAGCTTTCAGAGCAGCAAGATGGGCAACCTATTCATCCGCTTCCCAGAAAATCTCTTGCTGCATCGGGTGGAGAATGCCCAGGGCCATATCCTCTATGCTTTCTTGGTGGAGAACAAGGAACGAGAGGGTCGAGTGGTACACTTTGCTGTGCTCAAGGCCGAGACAGCTATGTCTGTGGCCAAGATGCTGAGTATCTTCACAGAGTTCAACTCAGATTGGCCGAAGGTCAAGGTGGTCTTTGTGGACCCATCCTTCCCTCACCGAGCCGTCCTGCAGGAGGTCTTCCCTGCTGCCCGCATTCTCCTGTCCATCTACCACACCACCCGGCTCTTGGAGAAGAAGTTGCATCGTAGTTCAGCAAATCCATCCTTTAAAAATCTCATGAAGGAAGCCCTGCGGGAGGCTGTGTTTGTCACCTCTGACACCAGCCTGCAGAGTCTCTGCCAGATGTCCCAAGCCCTACTAGAAGAGGAGCTCTTCAGCTTCCTTCAGGCCCACTGGTTCTCCTGTGAACTGCTGTGGTACATGCACGTCAGGAAGGGCCTACACGCGTGTAACACCTACATGGACAGCCTAGATATTGTCACCAGCAAGGTGTCAAGCCTCTTTAGGGAACAGCGATCCCTGCTGGACTGCATCCTCCGCTTTGTGGATTACATAGACTTCTTTAATACCAAAGGCGTGAAGAACTTGCCCACAGCTCCTCCCAAGTTAAAGAGAGCCCGGCCACCAAGCATGTCACCAAAGTCCAAAAAGCCTTTTGAAATCTGTGGAGGAAGCCTTACCAGGCTCCCCAAGAAAGAAACAAAGCCATGCCCACAGCAGGTGCAGTTACAGCAGCAGCCACAGGTGCAGCCCTCCCAGGGTGGCATGCTAGACACCTTGCACAAGAGTGGCTTCGAACTGGCCTATAAGCTGTGCTACAATGAGTGGGAGGTGGTACAGAACTCCACCCACCTGATGGATATGGCTGGCTCCTCATTGGACGTTAAGCTGCTAGAGGACTCTCACCAGGTTAGCAAAGACGGCTGTAGCTGTAGCTGTTCTTTTCAACAACGGTACCACCTGCCGTGCCGGCACATTTTGGCCCTGCTGCACACCAGCCAGAAGCCTGTGGGTGAAACCATGGTTTGCCGCAGGTGGCAAAAGAGGTACCAGCACCTCCTTGGGCCCAGAGGGGAGTTCCAGGACCCTGTTGTGGTCCCAAACACAGGCCAGCCTGGGAAACAAGGGCGGAAGGACATGATCCAGGACCTAAGCAGGGAGCTAGCAAACCTGTTAATGCAGAGTGAGGGGCCAGAGCTGGAGGAGCGCTTTTCCACCCTGCGAAAGATTGTGGACATCTGGGCTGACCCTTACCAGCCACCTGAGTCCACTCAGCAGCCAGCGGACTTCAAGGATGTGGGCCGCCTTCCTTTTCTCTGGGGAAAGCAGGAGGAAGGGGAGGGATTCCCTCTTGCTGGAGCCATGGTTCATGATTGAAGCACTTGTTCTGGTGCATTGGACCACAAACCCCTCCTTGGAAGTCTGAGAGCTCACAGTGGACAGGACATGCTAGGAGTCAGCATTTTAACCAATGTCTTCCTAGCTGGGGCTAAGAAGATTGTTACAAGGAAGAAGAGGAACCCCATTGTGTGACAGTCCTTTGAATTTCCCCCTTTTCTGCCCTACTTTTGGCATTCCTCGGGAGCCTCGTTCGTTGTTTAAGGCCAAAGTTGTTTCCATGTTGAAAGGTCATCCCTCTTTCTCCCCTAATCCCGGAATTCAGCTCTTACTCATTTTACAGAGATGAACCCGTGACCCAGGATAGAGTGAGACAAAATGGACCTGGTCAAAGAGCCTGTTTTCAGGGACAAAGGGAAGAAGGGTGATCCTTGACTATTGCTGCTCTTTACAAAGAATGTTATTTGTGTCTATTTTTATTCATATTAAAGTTTTTTTTTTAATAAAATCAAATAAGGGGAATGTGTGTTGCTTGAATAGGGACGGAATCGAGTGGGGGTTGTGAAGCAAAACAACTTGATGCCACAAATTCACAAACTGAATCCACCACTTCATCCTCTTCCTACCAACCAAACCTTCAACATTGATTTCAGGCTGCCTCATATTCTAGCATGATGAGGCCAAATAGACAGGGAGGGAAGAGATCTGAATCCTGGAATAAACTGCCTGCAGTTTGCAGGAGGGCTGTGGGCAAGTCCCTCATTTCTTTGATCCCAGTTTCCTCACCTGCAAAAATCAGTGTTGGCCTAGTTTCCCCTCTACATTTATAGAAATAGAACATTTTTGCCACAATAATAAGCATCAGCACTAACTTTTGTTGTTACTAGTTTGTAATCTTAATCACCTGGAGCCTGGTAGTCAACCAATTTCAGGGGAACTGAGGTTAAAAGTCGACCGTCAGCCCTGGCCAGTTTGGTTCAGCGGTTAGAGTGTCTGCCTGTGGACCAGAGAGTCCTGGGTTTGGTTCCTGCTAAGACAGTTGCAGTCTGTCCCCGCCCAGTTGGGGTCATGTGGGTGGCAACCACTTGATGTGTCTCAGGTCAATGTTTCTCTCTTACCTCCTCTCTCCCTTCTGCTCTGACAATAAATGCAAAAATGCTCTCAGGTGAAGATAAAAAAAAAAAAAAGAATTTAAAAGCTGACCGTCAGTCTTGGTTCTTGCACTAGATTACCACGACCTTAACCAGTCACAGCGCCATTTTAGATCTCTCGGGAAAATGCTGGGAGAGGTCGGCTGGGCAACACCAAGCTCTCAGGGAGATCTGGGTTTTCTCAAACCCAAGGGTTGGTTTCCTGACTCCTGACCTAGAGGCTGAATTTAAAACCTGGGCCTGTTTCCCTACGGTAGGAGACTCGGTTCAATTACATCTGCACCCTTTCCTATCCCCTGGGCCTCTGGAATTTGACTAGGAAAAGAAAAATTCATGAAACACTGCTATTTATTCCATTTCATTTTCTGCAGCTGAGTTTCCACAGTAACACGCCCTTCCAGTCGTCTCTACAGATAAGAGGTTCCAGAGTTCCCAGCTCAGGCTCAGACTCGCCAGGATACGAGCGTCTTCAGGTTTTCATTGGTTACCGCCAGCCGAGCCCCTCGTAACCATTGGTGACGGTACCGCCCACGAGTCGCTGGGCTACCATTGGTCTGAGCAAGAAAGACCTAACGTGAGCTCTTCAGGCCATTGGCCCGAGTCAAGGGAAGCTGGTGCCGTGGTTGGTGAGCCTAGAAGTCAGTCAGAGCCAGAGACTGGGTCAAATAGGGAGAAATGGCGACAGAGCCAGGCTGTGGTTGAGGGATTTTGGAAGGGGTGGAGATGTAAGGCAACTGACGGTTATGGTCAGCCCTGACACAGCTCCCAAGAGGGTAGGGAGCTGACGTCTCTTCTGGCTCCGGCGGACTCTGTATGAAATCGTCTGACATCAGCATCCTCCCACCCGGGCTAGAGGTGAGAGGTCAGAGGCCGCATCTTTCTCTGTCCCTGGTTTTTGAACCTCAGGTACTTTGAAAAGCAGTCAGGATCTCGAGCCAAAGAGTCAGTGTCCAGCTACTTACAGAATAATGTTGGCAAGTCACTTAACCTCTTTGAGCCTCAGTTTCCCATCTGTAAAATGGGGACAGTAACCTGCTTTGGGGGCAAAGAGAGGACACATTTGACTAGAAGTTTGCGGTTCATAGAGGGATTTACATAGCAGCAGGAGAAGCTATGCATGTTTGTTAGCCCTGTTTTATGGCTGAGGAGATGGAGGCTCAGAGGGTGTCACTGATTTACCCAAGATCACACAGCAAGTTTGGGGCAATTGCAGTTCTCTTGAATACGCCTGGACTAAATGAAAGAATGGATGCCAAGAAGTAATTTGTATATATAAAGTGCTGTACAAATATGTGAAATGCTATTTTCTTTAAAAAAAAAAAAAAGACTACATGCAGCACTAGCCTTCACACCCATTTAGATCTTATGGAACCAAATGGCTGGTTTATCAGTTAGGTCTCAGCCCCAATGTCATCTTCCCTTCCCCCAGAGAGGACTTCCCTGACCACCTTAGCTAAAGTTTCCCTCCCTCGGCAGTTTATTTTCTGTTACACCAGTATTGTGGTCTTTGTAACCTTCCTTATCTGATATATCCTTGTTTATCTGTTTACATTTATTGTATTATCTCCCCCAGAACAGTGCTGATACACAGTGAATGTTCAATAAATATTGGCGGTATGAATAATTGAAGAGCCAGCCCCCTACTATCTCCTTAAACCTCTGTTCCTTTCCATAGGCCCCTCTTTGGAACAAGATCTGGGAAATACAATCCATTCTCAAGCCTCAACTTAGTTGGAGCTTGAGAGACTGAGAGCCTCCTGTACATCAGCCTTGCATAGAAGTATTTTGACCTTGGCATTTGGACAGCTCCCCTCTCCCCCATGGCCCTGACAATGCTGAATGAACTCCTCATTGAGGACCCAAGCCCACCTATGCTGCTGTACCAGGTTAGCAAGACTGCCAAATTAGATACCCTCAACTATCAGAGCTACTTTATGCAAGGCATCTTTGCCCATTTCCCTGAGATCTTATTTATCCACCGGACCTATAACCCAACAGGCAAGGTGTTATATACCTTCCTGGTGGACGGCCCTCGGGTGCAGCTGGAGGGTCATCTTGCCCGGGCAGTCTACTTTGCCATTCCTGCCAAGGAGGATGCTGAAGGCCTGACCCAGATGTTCCAGGTGTTCAAGAAGTTTAACCCAGCCTGGGAGAGAGTCTGTACTATCCTGGTGGATCCCTACTTCCTCCCTCTGCCTACCCTAGCAATGGAGTTCCCTGCAGCTGAGGTCCTGCTCTCAGCCTTCCACATCTGTAAGTTCCTCCAGGGCAAGTTCTATCAACTTTCCCTCCAACCGCCTGTGGAGCAGGTGCTCCTGACCTCCCTGCAGAGCACAATGTGCTCGGCCACCGCTGGAAACCTAAGGAAGTTGTATACACTCTTGAGCAACTGCATCCCCCCGGACCAGCTGCCCAAGCTCCATTCGTACTGGCTGCTCAATGACCGCATCTGGCTGGCCCACCGTTGGAGAAGCCGAGCCGAGAGCAGCCGCTACTTCCAGGGCCTGGAGGTCACCACGCGCATCCTCAGCCAGTTCTTTGGCACCACCCCATCTGTGGAACAAGGCATGACCTCCCTGCTCCGATACATGCAGCAGAACTCTGGAGACAAGGCAAGCTTCAGCCTGGGTCTGAGTACCCAGAGCAATCATGCCTCCTCGGATGTCAGCCCCCAAGGCCCCAAAGTAGAACAGTTGGTGGAAGCCTGCATCCAGCACTCTCTTCATACTATCTGCACGGGGCCAGCAGCCCAACTCTGCCTGGGTGAGCTTGCCGTGGTCCAGAAATCCGTGCAACTCATTGGCTCTGGCTCAGAAAAGGTGAACATACAGATCCTGGAAGACACCCATAGAGTGCAGCCCCAGCCCCCTGCCAGCTGCAGCTGTTACTTTAACCAGGCCTTCCACCTGCCCTGCCGCCACATCCTAGCCATGCTCAGTGCCCGCTGCCAGGTGCTCCAGTCTGATATGCTGCTGCCTCAGTGGACGGCAGGCTGTGCTGCTAGTCTAGACGACATCCTGTGCAGCAAGTGGAATGAGACCCTGGATAAGCACTTGGCTGTGGCTCTCCTCACTGAGGAGGTGGGTCAGCTCTTGCAACACTGCAGCCAGGAGGAGTTTGAACGGCGGTACAGCACCCTGCGGGAACTGGCTGACAGCTGGATCGGCCCTTATGAGCAGGTCCAACTGTGATTACCCTTGGTGCCGAGAGATGCTCATACACAGGTACACACTCACATCCTCCCCTACACACACACTCACACTGTTGTATTTCCATGGACCCTGCTACCTACAATATGGCTAGTTCCCTAAGACAGGAACCAGCAAACCTTTGGGGCCTGACAGTAAATATTGTAGGCTTTGTTGGCCATATACAGTCTGTTGTATGTCCTTGGTTTTTGGAGTCTTTTTACAATCTTTTCAAAAGGTATAAAAACAGGTGACCCCTGCTCTAAAATAAGAGGTATAGATAGTGATCGGAGGTCAAAGTCTGGGGTAACAGTTTCCCAGTCATGAGATAACTCACCTGACTCACAGGGAAGAGGACCCTCAGAGGAGCTGGTTCAGCGAGGTTCCCAGCCTTCTTACCCCCCCACCCACCACCCCATCCTGAGGTCATTAAAGTTGAATGTTGTTTGTTCTGGCACTCTTTAGTTCTTTATCTTGTGGAAGGCACTCTAGGAAATGTCATGGAAAGAATAGAGACTTTGCCCTGGCCAGTTGGTCTCAGCAGTAGAGCGTCGGCCTGTGGACCAATGAGTCTCGGGTTCAATTCCAGCTAAGGGCATGTACCTTGGTTGCGGTTCATTCCCGGTCCTGGTTGGGGTCTTGCGGGAGGCAACCAGTTGATGTTTCTCTCTCTTCCTCCCACTCTGTCTGAAGATAAATAGAAAAATATCCTCGGGTGAGGATTAAAAGAAAAAAGAATAGAGACTTTGGAGTCCGATACTACATACAAATCCTTGTTCCTTACCTGCCTGACTTTTGAGGCCTGGTCTGCCTTTTACTGGCTATGGGACTTAAAGCAAATCACCTCTCTAAGCCCAATTTGTTCACCTATAGAAACAGATCCTCACAGCACTGGTAAGATGAAAGGAGAGGGCATATAATGGGCTTGATGCCCAGTGGGTGTCAGATAAGTGTTAATTTCCCTTCCTTGCCTGTGACCTCATCATCTGCCCTTAGCAAGCTGGGAAAAGTAAGGCAAGAGCACTGCTTAGGACTTTGTATAAGAAATGCTGATCAAGTCCCAAAACAATACAAAGGAAGCATCCACTCTCCAAGCAGGGTCCCCTACCTCAGGGGCCTAGAGGTCACCAGGTTATTTTCATTGTAATTATTCTGACAAGACCTGTCTTAGTGGTATCTGGAGAAACTTCCTGGAGTCTGGGCCCCGATGAAGGGCTGGTATTCATCAGAGTGGTTCAAACAACCAACTTATCCGCACCCGTCACAGGCACCCTCAGCCCTGTCTGCCCAAAAACCATACGGAGAAACCACCCTATGTGTCTGATGCTATTTCATTAGCTACAAGCAGGAACCAGGAGGCTGGCCCCTCCTGGATCTCACTAGGGGCATCTGCCCAGAGGCTGCACGGGCATGCGCCTGTCCCCAGTGCACGCCCTCTACAGCCCCCTCTGGCTCCGGATGCGCCATCATGAAAGCTTGAGCCGCCCGGATCAGGTCCTCTTCCTGAAGGCCTGGGACGGGCACGGTGGGAATGCCAGCAATCATCATGGCCAGGGTAAGGATGCAGATGTCAGGCTGGGAGCCGGCCTCCTTCCCCTCTGCCTCCGGGGGCATCGGCACAACGCCTGGTGACAGCCCACACAGTAGCAGAGGCCCAGGCCTGCTGGAGCTTCCCAGGTGGGGAGCTCTGCTTCTGGAGCAGCCATCCTCCCAGCCCAAGCTCTCCGGCTGCTTCACCTGGGGGAACTTGTGGCAGTACTGGCCGTACTCCTCCTGCCGCAGTGTCTCCCAGCTAGGGCCCCCGGGGCAGCCCCTGGCTTCCGGCACCGCCAGGGTTGGGCCCCAGGCCTGGGCAGCAGGTACCACCTGCTCGGCTTTCTGGTTCAGTTGGCCCCGTCCACCAGAGGCCACCACCACTGGCTCTACAGGACTATGGGAGCCAAGAGATGAGCCTCTAGCAGCAGTCTCACCTGCAGAGACAGGAATGAGATGGACTGTTACTGTCTGTGAGGAGGAGGCCCTGAGGGGCAGGGCCTAGGAGCAGAGCACTGGGAACAGGAGCTATTAAGACTAGCCTAAGAGGGTTGTCTGGTGGTTGGGAACTAGGTTTTACTCACATCCACACCCCCAGGCCCCAACACAAAGTGATGGAGAAGTGTTTGTTGAATGAATGAGTGAGCAAGTGGGTAGCTATTGGCAAGCATTTTGGGAATGGCTTTTCTTTGAAAAGAACTGACTCAAGGGCCAACCCCAAAGTGCTCAGCAGAACCTCCACCTCCCCAGAGCCAGGAAGCAAGTTCTCAGGGGAAGTTGTGGTACCCACTCCATTTCTAAGAGCCCCTCTCTCACCTTGGCCAGAAGGCAGAAGACCTAGATGATTTTGTGGAGACATGAAATAGGACATGGCTACTCCGAAGCCCCTGTTTGTAGGGGAATAGTCATCTGCCTCCTCTCCTACCCTCTCCACCCTTCTAGAATATCACCTCATAGTCCCTCCCACCTACACCTGGAACCCACCTCATAGCATTGACCCGTTCATTCTAGAACCTCTACAAGACAATGGGATGGGGTAAAAAGAGCACACCAGGCTGGGTATTCTAGTTTCTTGCCTCTACCTTGGGTGAGTCACCCGGACGGTTTCGTTCCTTGATATCCTCATCCATAAAGTGGGGGTAATAACTGTCCACTACCTCACCAGAAGTTATGAGAAGTAAATGAGACCATTTGTATGGAAGCAGATGATCAGTGATACCAACAACAGAGTCCAGTGCTTTGTGCCTGTAGTGTGAGAGGATACTCTACATCCATTCATTTGCTGTGTGACCTCACAGCTTCAGTTTCCCATCTACGAAATGAAATAGTTGGCCTAGGGCACTGGTTCTCACACCAGGCTGCACATTAGTTTCCCTTGGGAACTTTTAGAAATCCTGATGTCCAGCCTCATCCAAGACCAACTGAAGCCGAATTCTAGGGTCAGCCCCAGTTATCAGTATTTTTCAGAGTTCAAGTGGTTATAGTATGTGCCAAAGTTGAGACCTTCGTTCTAGGGAAATACTTCTCAATTCTGGCTGTATATTAGAACCTCCAGGGGAGCTTTTAAAAAAACAATGTCTAGGCCTAAACCTCTAAAAAATCTACTAAGAATCTGTGGAGCCCGGCCGATGTGGCTCTGATTGAGAGCATCAACCCATGCACCAAGAGGTCGCCAGTTCGATTCCCGGTCAGGACACATGCCCAGGTTGTGGGCCCGATCCCCAGTGGGGGGCATGCAGGAGGCAGCCAATCGATGTTCTCTCTCATCGATGTTTCCATCTCTCTCTCCCTCTCCCTTCCTCTCTCTCTAAAATCAATAAAGAAAAAAAAATTTTGTTTTAAAGAATCTGTGGAGACAGTCTATAACTTGGATGAGTAGCCAGGCTAGGAACCACTGGTCTCAGTGATGTCTAAAGTGCTCTCTCTTGCCCTGGCCAGTGTGGCTCAGTTGGCTGGAGCGTTATCCCGTGTACCAAAAGGTGGTGGGTTCAATTCCCGGTCAGGGCAATATCTGGGTTTTGGGTTCAATATCCAGTTGGGGCACATGTGAGAGACAACCAATTAATGTTTCTCTAAAAAAAAAAAAGTCAAAATCTCTCTCTTCCCCTGGCTGGGTAGCTCAGTTGATTAGAGAGTCATCCCAATACACCACAGCTGTGGGTTTGATCCCCATTCAGGGCACATACAGGAATCAACCAGTGGGTACATAAATAGGTGCAACAGCCCTGGCCGGTTTGGCTCAGCTTGGCTCAGCAGTTAGAGCGTTGGCCCGCAGGTCACAGGTTCGGTTCCAGTCAAGGGCACATACCTTGGTTGAGGTTTGTCCCCAGCGCTGGTCAGGGTAACTAGTCAATGTGTCTCTCTCACATCAATGTTTCTCTCTCCCCTCCCCCCCATCTGAGGATAAATAGAAAAATATCCTCTGGTGAGTATTAAAAAAAAAAAAAAATAGATGCAACAATGAATTGATGTTTCTCTCTCTCTAAAAAATCAATACATGAATTTTTAAAAATTAAATAAAATGCTCTCTCTTGCTCGGACCTGATAACCCACGGGGGTTCTAAAAGAAGTGCTCCTCACAGGTTTCAGGGGCAGGGAGACCCTCTAATGATCAGTGTCAGCATTGACTATGTTTATTTCTGGTCCTGGCTGACAGCAGTATGGCCCAGCTCTGGAACCAGGGCACGCTTCTGGACCCTGCTCCAGGGTGGCTGCAGGCCTTCACTCATACTTGCAGAAATCCTTAAGTCCTTTGGGCAGGTGGAGCCCATCAATGGCCAAACGATGTACCACACTCCTCTGGATCACTAGGCGGCACAGGGTCTGCAAGGACGGCACTATGGGAAGAAGATGGTCAAAGGCAATCTGAACTGGAAGGGGGGGGTCTAAGACTGAGTCCCTAAAGATCTAGGTCTTGGTGCCCCATTTGTCATTAACTTGAGCAATTCCCTTTTCCTCTCTATGTCCCCGTGACTCATGGGACTTTATGTATGTTTGAGATGAGCACCTCTTTCACGGTGCTGCAGCCCTATTTCTATTATAACACTCAGCACCCTCCCTTCCCCCTCACGTAGCAGCTTCTGGGGGCTAGGGTAGTGTCTGATTTAGCTGTGCAACCCCAGCCTCCAGCACAGGCCTGGCATAGAGTGGGTTCCAGTTCACGGAATACATAAAATGTGACCAGACGTCTAAATAAAGGGTTTACCAAGGCTATAACGAACCAGACCTCAGGATCAGGTTCTCAATCTGGAATCTGATGCCTTTGAACTGGTATGCCCGAATCTAGGAGTACTTGTTTAACCAAAGAGCACACGATTCTCAAAGAGACCCAGAATCTGAAATCAATTTAGAATCCCTGTCCTAGGTTAATACAGAAAATATTATCAAAGCCAGAAAGGAACTTGGAGGTCATCCTAATCATTCACAGCCAAGAAGTGTAACTAAGGCCCAGAACCAGGGAGCGACTTATCCAAGATCAGAAACGGGCAGAATTTGAGGTCAGATCCCCCAACTTCTAGGTTAATACTGCACAGACCAAGGCCTTGCTAGTTGGCTTGGGAGCCTAGC